TTTTGTTTGGTGGCTCTGAAGACACAGAGGCCCTGGATTGTGTTGTTTTCACTATTCACAAGCACATTTGAAGGCCACCAGCAAAATTTCCGGACACGACATTCTGGCATCAGGGGCAGAGACAGGAAGGAAACCTCAGACTCTGAAGTCCTGCTCTGGGCACTGAAATGTGGCTGGTGCTGTTTCTGATATATTAAGATACCATGGACAGAAAAACCTAATGGTGGTCTCAGATGTGAGTCCTACCTTAAAAGGTACTCAGGTAGAACATTCGAATTGCAACATTGCTTTGCAACCCAGCTGCTTCTTGTGCAGACTACTCTAAATGAGAGGACTGCCACCTACATGTACATGTAGAAAGCATGTGTTAAGACCACGGGCTTTGCAGTTAGAACAGATTCATAACCCAACTCCACTGTTTCCAAGTTATGTGACCTTGAGCAGGTTAGATACCTCCCTGAATCTTAGTTTCTTCATNTAAATAAATAAATAAATAAATAAATAAAATAAAAGGTACTCAGGTAGAACATTCGAATTGCAACATTGCTTTGCAACCCAGCTGCTTCTTGTGCAGACTACTCTAAATGAGAGGACTGCCACCTACATGTACATGTAGAAAGCATGTGTTAAGACCATGGGCTTTGCAGTTAGAACAGATTCATAACCCAACTCCATTGTTTCCAAGTTATGTGACCTTGAGCAGGTTAGATACCTCCCTGAATCTTAGTTTCTTCATCTGGAAAATGGGAGTAATAATACTTCCTACCTTACAGATTTGTTTTAAAGGTTTAACGAGTTCATGTCTAACGCATGTTGTGTTGGGTTTATGAATGGTATTTACCAATAAATGATCTGAAGAAAGAGGAAGAAATATGGTAACTCGCGCCCCAGCTTCCTCATCTGTAAAATGGGAATAATAATTGTGCCTACCTCAAAAGGTAGGATTTAGTAAGATAATACGTGTAATGCACTGAGAGCAGAAAATGACATAGAATAAGCTCTCAATATTAACTATTATAAGACTAATAACTATATAATGATAATAATTATTACTCCTTATCCAATTCCATAGGCCAGTTAGTTAATATAGGGATTATTTGCTGTTGTTAGTGGGGTACCCAACGTCCAACCTCCCCTTCCAGTTTGGGGGGAGCCCTGCCCTTTGTGTGTAGTGCTGCTGGATCGCGGGACCCGAAACTCCCTTATAAGTTGAAGGTGAAAGGGGATTCGTCCTCTCCCCATTCTTTGGTAGTCAGGGCAGGTGGTTCAAACTCAACCAGTCACATGCTTCCCCACCCTGGAATTTGAAGATGGACTAAATGTCTCAAACAGGAGAGGGGGATTTGGATTCCTTCATGGCAGCCTGCTGCATTGGGGGTCTGTCTGCCAGTATTTCTTCTGCCATGGGGCCTGTGCATTCCTGTATTTTCCATGGCCCTTCTCCTGGCTTCTTGTTGATGATCTGAGCTTCCTAAAATAATCTCCTGCATGCCTAAGACAGCCAGTCAGTTTCTGTTTTTTGCAACCAAGAACCCAAACTGACCCTGAGACAAAGATTGGAGGGTGTGTGGTTTGTTTGGAGGTACCAGAAAACATAGATAGGGGAATGGGGGGGGGGTAGGAAAGGGAAGCAGAGGCAGCCAGTGAAGGTTGCATTAGCAAATGAGTTACTGCTGTGGCAACTAGAGATTAAGCCCTGTGGGGAACGTTGAGGGGTCATGTAGGACAGAGTTAGTCCACCTAGGAGTGAGGAGGCTGGGATGGGGGATCCTTTTGTGGCCATGGGCTCCCTGGCTCTTCTGCTTGTCCTGCACTTGGGCTGAGCATGCTTCTGTGGCCAGAACATCATAGATATTGATAGCGAGCGATACAGGACATGAGAACAGTACTGACAGTGGGTGCCTCACTCCGTACACCTATCTAATCCTGCCATGAATTGTAGCTCAATTGCTTAAGTTTCTTGGTGAAGTGTTTTGAGAATCTGTTTATCTCTGGGCTTCAGCAACAAGAAGTCTCATCCCATTGGCCCCAAATGGGGAGTATGAACAACTGTTCCTTAAGGAAGGGATAAATGAGGGGTAGCTGAAAGCCAGATCCTAGTCCTGTGGGGAGTTTTGGCTCCATTGATATTCTGGAAACAAAGAACTTTCTCTCTCCTTCCTGACCAAGTAGGTCACAAGGTTTCTGTGCAGGGAAGAACAGAGGTCAGAGTGAATTGAAGGCATGGAAATTCAAAGAAGAAGAGGCAAGCAGGAACCAGGTTGGATCCAGAACCTTGGAATGGGGATGAGTTAACAACAATATTTATTGTCTTTGGCTGATGACAAGGAGTAGAATTTGTTCCAGAAAGAGAGAAAATTAGGCTTGAGCAAGTTAGGCTTGTCTCACTGTGAAATGAGTGTTGCTCCATCAGGATAGCCTCTACACAGGGGAAGGCACGACATTCTATGTATTCACACCTAAAAAAGACAGTTCCTGAATTCCTGTTGTGGAATCTTGAGTGGCCCAGAAGTGGGGAAACATTTAAGGATGTATTAGGAGTGCATTCAGTGGCAAGTAACAGAAAATCCAACTTGTGGTGGCTTATGCAAATAGGGGCTTACCTTACACATGTTACAAAAAGTCCAGAGTGGTCATTGGCTGGCACTGGCTAGCATTTTTTTGTGTGATTTTCTTGGCCTTTACCTCATGGTTGCAAAATGGTTGCTGGAGCTCCAAGCATCATATCCACATTCAAGGCAGGAAGAAGCAAGGATAGGATGGCCTCATTAATTTAGTGCTGCCAATTTTTATATCAGGCAAAACAAAAACTTTCCCAGAAACTTCTATTTACATTCCATTGGTCTGAAATATGTCACATGGCTACATCTAGTTCCGAGGGAGCCTGGGAAAAGATTTCACTTTTCTACTATTCTAGAGACTTTTCTAACTTTTTTCCTTTAGGTAGTTATATGCAGGGTTTTGTTTTTTTTTAAGTTTTATTTGAGAAATATAATTCACATATGTATGAATGTAAAACAGTGAATTATTGTAAAGTGAATACTTGAGCAACACCACCCAGCTGACGACAGAGAATGCTGAAAGCTCTCCTGGAAGTGCTGCACATGCCTCTTCACAATGACAACCCTTGCCCAAAAGTACTTCTAATCCCTATTTTTATGGTACTCATT